TGTTAATTTTGTATCCTGCCACATCTTGGAATTCATTTATTAAATCTGGTAGTTTTTTGGTGGACTCTTTAGTGTTTTCTATGTACAATATCAGGTCATCTGAGAATAATGACAGTTAAATATCTTCCTTTCCAATTTGGATGTCTTTTATTTTTTCTTGTCTGATCACTCTGGCTAGGACTCCCAGTACTATACAGACAGTCCTTGGGTTATGTTGGACTTGACGTATGTCGTTTCGTGGTCACGTCCCATTTAGTTATAAAAAAAAAAAAAAGTTCCATCATTTCAACGCATGTACATATGTGCTTTGTTTTTTATTATTTATTTACCACAAGTAAAGGTCAGCAATTGTTATCTTTCTTTTAAATTTTTTTTACTGTTTCACTTCATTACTGCTGTGTATGTGCTCCATGTGAGGACGTAGGTGCTTATGTAGGTGGGTTCTGACTTACGGCGAAAATTGCATTACATCGTGCCATAGGAACGGATCTCCGACGTAACCCTAGGACCTACTGTATTGATAAAAGTGCTGAAAGCAGTCAACCCTGTCTTGTTCCTGTTCTTAGGGGAAATGGTTATAGTTTTTACCCATTGAGTATGATGTTGGCTGTAGGTTTGCCCTGTAAGGCATTTATTATGTTGAGGCGTGTATGATTCTTCTATATCCACTTTGCTGAGAGTTTTTTTTTCTTCAAAAATGGGTGTTGCACTTTGTCTAAATGCTCTTTTTGCATCTATTAATATGATCATTTGATTTTTATTTTTCAATTTGATTACGTGATGTATCACATTTATTGATTTGTGAATATTATATCAGCCTTGCAATCCTGAAATCATGATATTTGATCTTTTTAATATAATGCTTGATCCAATTTGCTAATATTTTGTTGAGGATTTTAGCATCTATGTTCATCAGGGTATTGGACTGTAATTCTCTTTCTTTGTAGTGTCTTTATCTGGTTTTGGACTTAGGATAATGCTGGCCTCATAAAAAGAGCTTAGAAGTGTTCCTTCCTTTTCAATTTTTTTGGAATAGTTTGAGGAAGATAGGTGTTACTTCTTTGAATATTTGGTAAAAGTTCACTGTGGAGCCATTCGGGCCAGGGCTTTTATTTCCTGGGAGGTTTTTTGTTGTTGTTTTGGTTTTAATTTACCTTTATTGCTGAAAGTATAACAGATGTCCCCTCTTCCGTCCCTTTCCCCCCATTTACACCTTCCACTTCGCTTCTGTCCCCTCTCCTGGCCTTCCCTGCACTATTGTCTATGAGCTATGCATATATGCAGATATGTTCATTGACTAATCTGGCCCCTGCTTCGCCCCCCTCTGAAATATGTCAGTCTATTGCATGCTTCCATGTCTCTTGATCTTTTTTGTTCATTTTATTTTGTTCATTAGATTCCAAGTATGAGTCAGATAATGTGATACTTGTCTTTCTTTGATTTTATTTTGCTTAGCATAATACTCTCCAAGTCCCTCCATGCTGTCTTGAAGGGTAAGAGATCCTTCTTTTTTTTACAGCTGCATAAATATTCCATTGTGTAAGTGTACTAGTTTTCTAATCCTTTCATCTACTGATGGATACTTGGGCTGTTTCCAGATCTTAGCTATTGTAAATAATACTATTATGAACATACGGGTGCATATTCCTTCTGATTGGTATTTCTGGCTTCTTAGGGTATATTCCTAGAATCGAGATTACTGGGTTAAATGGCAGTTCCATTTTTAATTTTTGGAGGAAACTCTACACTGTTTTTCATAGTGGTTGTACCAGCTTGCATTCCTACCAGCAATGAACTAGGGTTCCCTTTTCTCCACATCCTTGCCAGCACTTGTTTGTTGATTTATTAATGGTAGCCATTCTGGCAGGTGTGAGGTGGTACCATATTGTCATTTTAATTTGCATTTCTCTGAAAATTAGTGACTTTAAACATTTTTTCATATGTCTCTTGGCCATTTGCATGTCCTCTTTGGAGAAGTGTCTATTTAGGTCCTCTGCCCATCTTGTAATTGGGTTCTTTGTCTTCCTTTTGTTGATTTCCTGGGAGTTTTTTAAAATTACTGCTTCAACTTCAACTGTTGTTATTGGACTATTCAGATTTTCTGATTCCTCCTGATTCAGTTTTAGAGGATTGTATTTTTCTAGGATTTTGTCCATTTTGTCCAGGTTGTCCTGCTTGTTGTCATATAGTTGTTCATAGTATTTTCTTAAAAACCTTTGTATTTCTGTGGTGTTAGTTGTTACTTCACAACTTTTGTTTCTGATTTTTTTATTTGGGTCCTTTCTCTTTGTTTCTTTTTTTTCTTTTTCTTCTCTCTTTTTTAAAGGTTTCTTTCTTTTTTTTTTAATAATTAAATCCTTATTGTTCAGATTATTACAGTTGTTCCTCTTTTTTCCCCCCATAGCTCCCCTCCACCCGGTTCCCACCCCACCCTCTGCCCTTACCTCCCCCCCCCCCACTGTCCTCATCCATAGGTGTACGATTTTTGTCCACTCTCTGTCCGCACCCCTCACACCCCTTTCCCCCCTGAGAATAGTCAGTCCACTCCCTTTCTATGCCTCTGATTCTATTATATTCACCAGTTTATTCTGTTCATCAGATTTTTTATTCACTTGATTTTTAGATTCACTTGTTGATAGATGTGTATTTGTTGTTCATAATTTGTATCTTTACCTTTTTCTTCTTCTTCCTCTTCTTTCCTTTCAGCATTTCATATAATCCTGGGTTGGTGGTGATGAACTCCTTTAGCTTTTTCTTATCTGTGAAGCTTTTTATCTGACCTTCAATTCTGAATGATAGCTTTGCTGGATAAAGTAATCTTGGTTGTAGGTTCTTGACATTCATCACTTTGAATATTTCTTGCCACTCCCTTCTGGCCTGCAAAGTTTCTGTTGAGAAATCAGCTGACAGTTGTATGGGTACTCCCTTGTAGGTAACTGACTGTTTTTCTCTTGCTGCTTTTAAGATTCTCTCTTTGTCTTTTGCCCTTGGCATTTTAATTATGATGTGTCTTGGTGTGGTCCTCTTTGGATTCCTTTTGTTTGGGGTTCTCTATGCTTCCTGGACTTGTAAGTCTATTTCTTTCACCAGGTAGGGAAAGTTTTCTGTCATTATTTCTTCAAATAGGTTTTCAATATCTTGCTCTCTCTCTTCTTCTGGCACCCCTATAATTCAGATGTTGGTATGCTTGAAGTTGTCCCAGAGGCTCCTTACACTATCTTCATATTTTTGGATTCTTTTTTCTTTTTGTTTTACCGGTTGGGTGATTTTTGCTTCTTCGTATTTCAAATCTTTGACTTGATTCTTGCAATCCTCTAGTCTTCTTTTGGAACTCTGTATAATATTCTTTATTTCAGTCAGTGTATGCTTAATTTCTAGTTGGTCCTTTTTCATATCCTCGAGGGTCTCACTAGATTTTTTGAGGGTCTCACTAAATTTATCGGCGGTTTCTAGAGAATTCTTGAAAAACCTTAAAAGTGTGGTTTTGAACTCTATATTCTGTAGTTTGCTTTCCTCCATTTCTGTCATTTGTGACCTGTTTCTTTGTCTCCACATTTTTTATGCTTCCCTGTGTTGATAGAGTGGCTTTCTGTGCTAAGTGTCCTATAAGGCCTAGTGCAGGGGTGGGCAAACTTTTTGACTCGAGGGCCACAATGGGTTCTTAAACTGGACCGGAGGGCCGGAACAAAAGCATGGATGGAGTGTTTGTGTGAACTAATACATGTTAACACTGCTGCTGGTGAAGGAGCGGAGGGGAGAGCAAGAGAACCCTCCGCTCTTTCAGCTCCGCGGGCCGGATAGAACAGCCGAACGGGCCAGATCCGGCCCGCGAGCCGTAGTTTGCCCACGGCTGGCCTAGTGGCTCAGCCTCCCCAATTACGTGAGGTGGACACTTTTGGTGCACCCCTTTGTGGGCTTTGTACATAGTCTTGTTATAGTTAAGCCTTGATTGTTGTAGGTATCACTGGGAGGAATTGACCTCCAGGCCAATTGGCTGTGAGAATCAGCTGTGTCTGCAGTGGGAGAACTTCTGTGCTGGAGACACCCTTCTGGGGCAAGACTTACTTCAGTGGGTCTTTGGTGCTCACTGAGTCTGCCCCCTGAGTGTGTCCCTTATGGATCTGAGGAGTTGTACTCTGTGTGGCCAGAGTGAATCTTAATGCTATTTTTGTTTTGTTTTAAATATATTTTATTGATTTTTCACAGAGAGGAAGGGAGAGGGATAGAGAGTTAGAAACATCGATGAGAGAGAAACATCGATCAGCTGCCTCTTGCATACCCCCGACTGGGGATGTGCCCGCAACCAAGGTACATGCCCTTGGCCAGAATCAAACCCGGGACCTTTCAGTTCGCAGGGTGACGCTCTATCCACTGAGCCAAACTGGTCAGGGCAATACTACTTTTGTTTTTCTAGAATTTATATTCAGCCTCCTCCTAGAAATACTTTGAAGCCCCAGCTTAGGTTATACTATATAGGTGAGGAAAGAAAAAAGAGCTAAAAGACTTTCCTTCCCGCATCACTTCAGAGAACTAAGTAATAAATCTTTATATATACCAGTGCTGCTCAAAGGGAAATTATGCAGAGAAAGAACGTTTTTATGTAGGGACACAGAGTGGTATAGTGGAAAAGAGCAATACCTTTATTTAGAGCAGTGGTTCTCAACCTTCCTAATGCCGCGACCCTTTAATACAGTTCCTCATGTTGTGGTGACCCCCAACCATAAAATTATTTTAGTTGCTACTTCATAACTGTAATTTTGTTACTGTTATGAATCGTAATATAAATATCTGATATGCAGGATGTATTTAGGCGACCCCTGTGAAAGGGTCGTTCAGCCCCCAAAGGGGTCGCGACCCACAGGTTGAGAACTGCTGATTTAGAGGCACAAAACCTAGGTTATTTCCTTGTGCTGCTATTGGCTTGCTTTGTAACTTTTCACTGATTTCTCCAGCTACCTGACTACAATCATAAAAGCTATTTTTTTCCTTTTTTGTTCCAGGAGATTTTGATGAGTTCACTCACGATAATAATGACAGTATGTTGAAAAGCATAGCAGAAGATCTTCGGAATTGCTTACCTCTAGAAACCATGCTTTCCTCAGAACATCTAGCCCTCCAAAAAGTAAGTACATTATTATTAATTTACTCTTAGTGCTACTTGAGAATTCTCCAGTTCTTTCCTAACCCCGTAGTCTCTTCAGACTTATAGTCCTGAATTCTGCTTTAAATAATTTTCATATAGTGCTTCAACCATGTTCCTGATTCTTTTGAGTCTCTAAGCCCTCTGGCTTCCCAGTATTTTTCACTCAACAGACATTTTTTTGAGGATATCTGTTTGCCAAGCACTCAACCTCCTTCCAAAATCACAATCCAACAGTAATCTGGTCCTGCCTGTATCACTGTCCTGATTTTCTCTTCCCTGTTTTATTTCCTTCACTTTTATCAATGGTGAAGTTTACGTCTTTGTTTCCTTCTCCTACATTTGCATTGTACAATTTTTGCTTATTCTTCTATTTGTTTATTCCTAGAATTAGTTCTCATTTATCTTCTCCAAACAACCCCTCATTCAAGTCCCTTCAAATCCCAACTCCTATGGGATTACAAATGCTATACATATTGTTTCCTAAAGCAAAGCTAATGATAATAATGTCTTCTCCCACTGATTTGAAAATAGCAACCCTCCATATGGTTTTTCTAAGCAGAGGAACTAAATCCTGTACATTTTTAACAGTATTGTGCACGTTGTGAACAGTTAGCAAATCTTAGTAAACATCTGCTCATTCAAGTGGATTCTCAAAGGAGGAAAATAATGAGTAGTATTAAAACTGAGAGAAATATCTAATATTGGATGTTATTGACAAAACAAACTTATTGGTATCATGGTATACCACAATCCATAAAATGAGGAAAAAGTATTCATTGCATGTTAATGATCAACCCACAATTCCATATGCTAAATTTCACACACTTTTTATTTTCTTTTCTTTCCTTCTGGTCCTTGTGTTTGTTCATACATTTTATGTACTTGTAATATAGATTGTGTGTGTGTATATGTGTGTGTGTGTGTGTGTGTGTGTGTGTGTGTGTAGATATAGATATAATTTTGTAAGTTTCCAAGCAGATAGGTTGATACTTTACCATAATCAAGGTAGAAGGAATCAGACAAAATTTTTTTCTTTGTAGCCACTTGCTGTTACCACTAGTATTAATAGAGGGCCATAATTTGTAAGCATGAAGGTTTACTAACATTATTATTTGAAAACTTTTCCTCTAAGCAAAGATTTCTTGCTAAGTATTTTGATGAGTAAGTCACTGACATGGAGTACTCAGAAGAGCTGGTATTAGTTTCCATTTTGACCCCTCTTACTAGCTACTGTCATTTCTTTGGAGAAATCTCTCTGGGTATCAGTTTCTGTACTTGTAAAATATACTGCTTTGGATGGACAAGATGGTCTCAAAATACTCCTTTCAACTAAAATTGTATATATTTCTCATTGCCATGTTTTGCATAATTACAGGTCAAATAAAAAGTTGTCCACTAACAAAGTGACTCCCATTTGTGTAACTTCATTGAGATTCATTACCTGAATGAGCAGATGAAATCCATTAAAGAATTGGGTGACTATGCGAGATGGGCACTTCTAATCTGGATGGCAGAGTGTCTCTTTGACAAGCACACTCTGAGAGACAGTGATGAGAGTTCAGCCTTAGACTGGCTTCCCATAGCCACAGGGGTCACTTCCCTGGTCACCAAAGCAGTACATGCATGTTAGTGTTACCTTTATCTTTTTCTTATGTTCTTTCATTTGTATCCTTCCTTCAAATGAAGTAAATTGGTCCCCTCACACCCCCCAAAAGTCTCAGAAATAAAATGAAAGAAGGGCAGAGTTGCTGATGTAAGTGAAACTAGTCTTTCTGTGCCTTGTTGCTGGCAGAATTTTAGCATATGAACCACTGATGTTTTGCCTTATCCTATATAATAAAAGGCTAATATGCAAATAGACCGAACAGCAGAACAACCAAACAACCGAACAACCAGTCGCTATGACGTGCACTGATCACCAGGAGGCATGTGCAGAATATGGCGGGTGTTGGCCATGGTGGGATGGTGGAGCAGTTGAGCGGGGGTGCCAGACCAAGGTGGGGCGGCAGTCACTGTCATCAGGGCAAGTCTCTGGTGATTACTGAAAATTCTTTGCTCCTGTGCACTGGGGTCCCACCCGGCACTGGCACCGGCTGCTGGCACCAGCCCTGCTCGCACCTGCTACTGGCGCTGGAGCTGCTGCGCGTATCCACTGCCAACGCCCAGCACCGGCCCCGATCGCTCGGCACCATCAGTGGGTGTGAGTGGCGGCTGCCAGCCCCGATCACCCCTCTGGGCTTCTCCACCTTCCCCTGCTCCTAAGGGGAGATTGGGGCTGGCAGCTGCCTCTCACACCTGCTGCCAGTGCCCTGCGCTGGTTCCGATTGCTTGGCCCCATCAGCGGGTGCGAGCGGCAGATGCCGGCTCTGATCGCCCCTAAGGATTTCTCCACCTCCCCCTGCTCCTGAGGAGCAATCGGGGCAGCAACTACCACTTGCACCTGCTGACGGCGCTGGCCCTGCTTGCACCCGCTGCTGGCACCGTGGGTGAGAGCAGGGCCAGCGAGTCAGCGCATGGGAGTGGCGGTGGCAGGAGCAGAGCTGAAGGCAGACAGGGCACCAAGGAGCCACAGTGGGAGGGGCCAGGCAGGGGCATGGAGGATGGACCGAGACCCAGCCCTGTGCCCACCGCAGCCTCGCAGCCCACAGTTCCTTTCAAGTTGCACGAATTCGTGCACTGGGCCCCTAGTCTATATATATAAATGGCTAATACGCAAAGTGTCCCCTTGGGAGTTTGACTGGGAGTTCGATCACTCGCTATGACGTGTGCTGACCACCAGGGGGCAGCGTGAAACGAAGGAAGGCCCTGGCCTGCAGCCAGGGAAAGAAGGCCCCAATCAGCCCTGATCGTGGCCAGGCCTAGGGACCCTACCCGTGCATGAATTTCGTACACTGGGCCTCTAGTTTAGCAATAAAAAGAGACTTCTTTGTACTTTGTTTCTTTTGATGTGTTTCTTCTCTCCACCAGATCCAGCAGCAGCCAGAACCCACAGTTCATGTAGATGCATTCCTTTATGATGAAGATTCTATTGATTCATTATGTGAGGAAGGAAAAATGAGCAGAAACTATTGTGTGGTGTGTGGCTCATACCAGACAGCACCTTTAGGTCAGCACTCAAGTATGCAAACCTGATGACTTTGTGTGTACTTTTCCTTAAATGTCTTGAGTATGCAAATTACTGACGGTCTTTCAATGTTTTCTGAAAGCAAAGGCCAACCTACAGCATAGCCATTACCAATTATTGCAGTTAGGGAGACTAAATGGAAATATTGTTTAGGAAGTCAGGGCATTTAATGTCTCCCAGAAGGGTATCTCTACTTTTCACAGTAACTGGTTGTTTTTTGTTTTTGTTTTTTTGGTTTAAAAAAATATATATTTATTGATTTTTTACAGAGAGGAAGGGAGAGGGATAGAGTTAGAAACATCAACAAGAGAGAAACATCGATCAGCTGCCTCCTGCACACTTCCCACTGGGGATGTGCCCGCAACCAAGGTACATGCCCTTGACCGGAATAGAACCTGGGACCCTTGAGTCCTCAGGCCGACGCTCTATCCACTGAGCCAAACCAGTTAGGGCTCACAGAAACTGTTTAATCACCAGTGACTTTGCAGGTCCAGAAACTAATCAGAAGTGACTAAGTACAAGGAAACTGACTCATCCTTTCCATACTCAACAGAAATTCACATATAAAGCATATGCAGATTTATTTACAAGAGAAATATAGTTATATTAGTTTAATATAGTCAAGGGGACCGAATGTTCTCCCTATGAAAACATCTACTTGAGAAGTATTGTTGGATGAGCAATATTGTTGGATGAACATGGACTAAGAGGACAATGATGGGTAATCTTGAGAAAGAGTTTATTCAGGCCATGATTTGACCTAGTAGAGCATCTCTAGTCCATAACAGGAAACCAACTCCAGTGACAGAAATTTTCCTGCATCTCTGCCCCTCAGATGCAGTACCTGTGTCCCAAATAGCAAGCTAGACTGACTCCATGCTGCTACAGTGTAGCTCTTCTGTTAATATATTCTTTGTTCAAACTGGATATGATTGTTTAGGCTGTTACTTTAGACATGCTATTTCAATCTCCCTACTACCTTAGGTTTATTACTTAGAGTGTGCTATTCTCCAGGTGTGTTTCCTTGTTCTCATACTACTGACCCTAGATAATATCATTCTCAAAAGTTTACTGTTACCAAATTGGTAATATGTTGCTAATAAAAATATATTGTACCTGTATTATAATTGGGGTTAAACGTCCCTGATTTATTGATTTAAGGTTTATTTGTTTATTTAAATTATATATATATTTCAGAGAGGAAGGGAAAGGGATAGAGAGATAGAAACATCAATGATGAGAGAGAATTATTGATTGACTGCCTCTTGCGTGCTCCCCACTGGGGATCGAGCCCACAACCCAGGCATGTGCCCTTGACCAGAATCAAACCTGGGACCCTTTAGTCCACAGGCCGATGCTCTATCCACTGAGCCAAACCAGCCAGAGCTAAGGTTATTTTTTAGGTAGTCCTTTATGGGGTAAAGTCCATTGGTTTCCATTGGAGGTAGTTGAAACTCAAATAGAGAAGGACTTAAGAACAATAGAGAGAAAACTAAAAAGTGAATTATAACTATAACAGCATATAAGACCTGATTTATCAAAATGTATAGAAGAGCTATGTTCAACAAATAAAAATTTGAAGAATAGAATTCATTTTCCCACAAAAATCAAGTTGTAAATAGTGACTGGGTATCCACACCCACCCAGATAACCATAATGAATCTGAAAAAGTTATCAGGATGTGGGACTCTCCTTCCCTTTTTGACAGGGCGCTTATCTAGCTGCTAATGATGACTCTGTAGCCCAGGGCAGAAGCACTAATGTGGCACAGATGGTAGTAAAGGTGAAGATCCTAGGGAGAGAAGAACTATGGTGGTCAAAGGCCCCCCGCTACTTCTGAGGTCCAGTCATACCCTTTATTTTCATCGAGCTGAGTAGCCTGTGTGCTTCCATTTTCTTTGCCGCAGTCTATTAGTTATGACCAAAGTTTCTTTCCTTCCGGACCATTATGTTACATAAAACATAATATATTAAGTTTTTAAGTTACCTCAGTTTCAGAAAGAAAGAAGGAAGGGAGGGAGGGAGGGAGGGAAAGGAAGGAAGGAAGGAAGAAAGGAAGAAGAAAAGAAAGAAAAGGAAGGAAGGAAGGAAGGAAGGAGGGAGGAAGGGAGGGAGGAAAAACATACTCAGGCTCTCTCAGATATTTCATTATAGAAATAAAGGAGTGAGAAAATGGGGTAGGAGGCTAGAAGTTATAGCAATTAAACGAAGGGAAATCAGAACCGTGTTGGGAGCATCTTAACCTTCCACATTGCCCTCTTCTGCACTCAGGGCTGCCACATTGCGCACATCCTGAGTGGTCATTCATTTGGTCGTCCACAGTCTGTGCAGCAGTGTGCGGCAGTTCTGTGATTGGCTCTGGGGTAAGGTGAGATGCCGGATGGAATGGGAGTTGGGAAGCAGTCCCAACAAACAGCAGGTCATGGGGCCGGGCGGGGGAATGAGGGGCATAGGATAGGGACAGGCAGCTGAGTAGCTGTTCCCTTAGAGGTCTTTTAAAATGTCAGAGACTGCCCTAACCGGTTTGGCTTAGTGGATAGAGCATCAGCCTGCGGACTCAAGGGTCCCAGGTTTGATTCTGGTTAAGGGCATGTACCTTGGTTGAGGGCACATCCCCAGTAGGGGGAGTGCAGGAGGCAGCTGATTGATGTTTCTCTCTCATTGATGTTTCTAACTCTCTATCCTTCTCCCTTCCTCTCTAAAAAAATCAATAAAATATATTTTAAAAAAATAAATAAGTAAAATAAAATGTCAGACTTTATGTTTATTCTTCTCCAATACAACTCAGAGTAAATGAGTGAAAAATTATCACATTAAGTTTTTCTAAATAACCTCTGACTGCCTTTCATTGAATAAGAAAATGAAAACGTGAAATATCCTATATAATAAAAGCCCAATATGCAAATTATCCCCTTGACAGGGAGTTTGACCAAGGGGTGGGGCCGGCTGGCCAACTATGGGAAGGTAGGCCCCGGCTGGCGTGCACTGGGCCTCTAGTTCTTTATAAATATAGGTGAAGATTTAGAAATACAGAATTGAATTGTTAGTACCCACGCAGAATTTGTTCATTTTGTTCTAATTCTGCAGGATTTATTTCTCATTCCTTCTCTCTCATGGAATTGAAGTTCATATACCATCACGTACTCCCTGATCTGTCGGGAAAGCTCTTGGTTGACGTCGGCTCCAGGCTTGGCACAGTCCTTTATGGGGTAAAGTCCAGCTTATGGACATACTCAACATTTGGAAAATACTTTCTTCTCCTGCTAACAACAGTTTTGCCTGCCACCATCCAAGGTGACAGCTTGGTTTTATTTATTAGAGTAACAATAATAAAATTAAAGTAGTATATTGAGTTTGGAATTTCAAAGGCCAGCTCTCTGATTTCCTTTATTAGTTTGTCTCTGTGACTCAGAGGAAGAAATATCAACAAAACAGAAGCAGGTAACCCTCAAACACTTTGCTGCTTTGTAGTCACCACTGCCCTTTAACCCTGTTTTCCTTGTACTGTGCTAAAATTGTATACTAGCATTGGTAAGCGCTCTTATAAAACTGACAAGTTTACTTGACCTAGGAAATTGCCCATGGCCATAAGCAAGTTACCTAACACCTCTGGGCTTCAAGTTCCTCCCCTGTAAGTGAGCAAACGAAATGATATCCAAGGACACATCTTGCTCCAATTTTCTGTCATCCAAAGTTTGAATGTAGACATTTGTTTCTGAAATATCACGTCAATATGACCTTTTAAAAAATTTAAATCACGAGTATTCTTAATGTTCTTAAATGGTTTAATCAAAAAACTGAAATGTGGTTTCTGCTTGTCATTAGCAGACTTGTTAAAACATGTGGCCAACAGCAGGAGAGGCTCATGCCAGAAACAGGCACTATCAGTTCCCAGCATTGTTGCCCGCCCCAAACAGAAACAGTTAACTCTTTGATGCTTCATTTATTGTTCAGTACTAAAACTTTTATTCTGTGATTAGAAAAGATAGCCATAATGGAAAAGTACACAATTGTCAGGTAGTTTTCTTTGGAGAACATTAGAGATTATGATTGTTTACCATATTTTGTCCACTGTTGTCTGTTTGTTTTTTTATTTGTTAAAAAACTATATAGCTGAAATAATTGGCTATGCAGGTGTGTGGCAGTATTAAATAATTTAAACATATTGTTGTTCTTATTAGGTCACTGATTCAGTCAACAAAGATTTTTGAATGCCTACGTATGCTCTGTTGTACATATTCTAAAATCCATGATGAGCTGTAAATATAAATTGGTTTACACCTAGGTGTTAGTTGATGTAAAATGGTATTCAGAATATGATTTGACCATTTCTTCCAGATATTGTTTTGTTATTGAAACCAAAATAGATACATAACAATATACAGTCAATTCTTGATTATCCTTGAAAACTAATTGGTCATTATTTTGGCAGATTGCCAGGCTGACTTCCATAAGCCAAACAGAACATACCTCCAGCAACCTTCCTCTGTTGTCAGGCTGCATGATTTTCCAATTATGGTCTCCACAGGTTTATTCCTTTCTTGCTTTTCCCTGAAGCAACTTCCAAAGAAGTTACAGAAATAGGGTGGTAAATGAAGAATCTATATATGATCACTTTTCTCATTTTCACTTTTGTTGAGTGCACAGTTTTATCAGAAAAAAGTAAGAAATCAATCTTTAAAATATAATTACTTTTAAATAATGGAAATTATTAAATAATGGCAAAGAACTACAATGAAGTTCTTGATCAGTAAGTCTTCAAGTTCTTAAAGTTGTCAGTTTTACATAAACTACAAGATGTTATTTATCCTTACTTTATTGAATTCTATTTTTTAAAGTTTGACTTTTTAAATTTCAATTAGAAGTAAACCACAATAAAAAGTTAATTCATTTGTATCCTAATATATTCTCATATTTTAGGGTTATCTTTACAGTTCAGCATTGCAACTGTATGGAGTAGAATTGAATGGAGACTTTTGCCAGTTGCAGGAAATGATCATAAAAAAATACCAGTTCACTGACAGAATAAAGGTACCCTTTCAAATATATATTTTGTTGTTCATTGTATAGCATAATTTAGGCAACTTCTTCTGCATTGTAGTTGGAAAATCTTTTTGAATCTATTCTTAGTTGCTGTTTTGTAGAAACAGATTTGAGTTGACTTAATATTTTAAAACATTAATAAAGATTAATTATTATCATTATATCCCACTCACATATTTCTCTCCTCCCCGATTTTATTAGGAAGTAGGTTTTTTTCTTAGTTTGCTTCATATCAGCTTTAATAATGCTAGCAGCATTTTTGAATCTCAAGATGTTGGTCAGAAGTGTATTTAATTAATCTCTGAATGTAGAAAGTAAGCAAACAGGTTAGTAATGCTCACAACTCTTTATCTTCTGTTTTGTAAGCTTTCAGGAGGAATTGTGGCTGCCACAGAATAGCAATTTATAGGGAAATGATGCCCTAGTTTGGGCTTCAACAGAGTTTTCTGTCTTTCTTATATGTTAGCAGTTTTTAACCTTTTTCATCTCATGGCCCACATAAACTAATCACTAAAATTCTGTAGCACACTAAAAAATACATTTTCTTTTTGCCAATCTGACCTAAAAAAAAGATATAATTTTGATTGAACTACAAAAAAAGTAATAATAGCAATTACCTACATTTTTTGCTCCAAAGTGACTTTTAAAAAAAATCAGGTGCCTATACTTGTATATAAGGATTTCTAGTACCAAGAATTAACCAATCAGATATATCCTTATTAAGCGATGTGACTAAAAAGATGCAGCTCTATTTTACGACCTATACTAGAGGCCCGGTGCACGAAATCGTACATGGGTGGGGTCCCTCGGGCCGGCCAGTTGCGGGGAGGGACTGCAGGAGGTTGGCTGTAGGAGTGCAGTGCATTGAGCATCTGCTCCCTGGTGATCAGTGCATGTCATAGCTATGGGCCTGTCGTAACGGTCACTTAGGCTTTTATATATATATATAGATATTTATAGTTCAAGACAGGGCATTCACACCAACCACTATTGGCGTGTTGGCTGTTGTCATTTTTTTTAAAATATATTTTATTGATTTTTTTACAGAGAGGAAGGGAGAGGGATAGAGAGTTAGAAACATCGATCAGCTGCCTCCTGCACACTCCCTACTGGGGTTGTGCCCGCAACCAAGGTACATGCCCTTGACCGGAATCGAACCTGGGACCCTTGAGTCCGCAGGCTGACGCTCTATCCACTGAGCCAAACCGGTTAGGGCTCATTTTTTAATTTGATAATCTAAGGGAAAAGAAGTCAGTGTCCCTCACTAAATAATCAGGTATTTATTGCATGTTTTAAAAATTCTTGTGGCACACTGGTTGAAAATCGCTGCTATATATAAAGGGAAAAATAACAGAAAAGGGAAAGGAAGTTTTTTGGTTAATGAAGTAATACTTATCATTTCAGTAATGATCCTTTATTATATATATATATATATATATATATATATATATATATATATATATATACACACACACACACACACACACACACACTAGGGGCCCAGTGCACAAATTTGTGCAACTTAAAAGGAACTGTGGGCCACAAGGCTGTGGTGGGCACAGGGGTGGGTCTTGGCCCATCCTCCGCGCCCCCACCCGGCCCCTCCTGTCCGCTGTCTGCTGGCAGCCCCATTCCCGCCGCCACCTCTGATCCCATGCGCTGACGGCACTGGTCCCGCTCGCATGGAGCGATTGGGGCCGGCGCCAGCAGCAAGTACAAGTGGGGCCAGCACTGTCAGCAGGTGCGAGCAGCGGCTACTGCCCAGATTGCCCCTCAGGAGCAGGGGGAGGTAGAAAAACACTCAGGGGCAATGAGGGCCGGCAGCCACTGCTCACACCCACTAACAGTGCCAAGCGGTCGGGACTGGCACTGGGCACCAGCAGTGGGTGTGAGCGGGCCCTTCGCCAGCAGCGGGTGTGAAAGGCAGCTGCTGCCCCAGTTGTCCCTCAGGAGCAGGGGGATGTGGAGAAGCCCTGAGGGGCGATCAAGTCTGGTGCTGGGCACTGGCAGCAGGTGTGAGCAGCAGCTCCAGTGCCGGCAGCGGGTGCGAGTGGGGCTAGCGCCGGCAACAGTTGCAAGCACCGGGCAGGACTGTGGCGCGCAGGGGCAAAGAATTTTCAGTAACCACCAGAGGCTCACCCCAATGACAGTGACCGGCAACCCACCTTGATCTGGCGCCCCCGCTCTCCTGCTCCATCATCCCGCTGCAGCCGATGCCCGCCATGTTCTGTGCTTTGCCGCCTGCTGCTGACGCCTGCTATGTTCCGCGTGTGCCCCCTGGTGGTCAGCGCACGTCATAGCAACTGGTTGTTCCGCCATTCGGTCTATTTGTATATTAGCCTTTTATTATATAGGATAGATTTAAATATATTTTTATTGATTTCAGAGAGAAAGGGAGAGGGGGAGAGAGATAGAAACATCAATGATGAGAAAATCATTGATCAGCTGCCTCCTTCATGCCCCACAATGGGGATCTAGCCTGCAACCCAGGCATGTGCCCTGACCAGGAATCAAACCGTGACCTCCTGGTTCATAGTTCAACACTCAACCACTGACAGCCACGCCGGCTGGGCCATATCCTGCTTTTTTTTTTTTTTTTTTTTATGGCATTTTTTATAGAGTTATCAGCATAGCTGTTTCATCCCATTACTAGATTATAGCGTATTTGAGAGTAGATATTGTAGATATCTCATTCATCATGGTATATTTCCCTACACAGTATCTAGTACATAAGAGATGGCCATTAGAAACTGGTTAAATTGATCTTAGTTGCCTTGTGGCCTCCACGTTGTTAGCATTCATTTTGTTCAGAACCATTCCTTGGGATTTCCCTGGAACCTCCAGAGCAGTGGTTCTCAACCTTCTTAATGCCGCGACCCTTTAATACAGTTCCTCATGTTGTGGTGACCCCTAATTTCATTGTTACAAATTGAACATAATTAAAGCATAGTGATTAATCACAAAAACAATATGTAATTATATATGTCTTTTCCGATGGTCTTAGGCGACCCCTGTGAAAGGGTCGTTCGACCCCCAAAGGGGTCGCGACCCACAGGTTGGCAGCCCACAGGTTGAGAACCGCTGCTCTAGAGCAAGCACTTATGTCAGTTGCCATAATTAATTGATCCACCTGATTCTTTTTTAACTTACCTGTGGGGTGGGGATGGGGGGAGTGAACAGAGATGGGAAAGAAAAAGGAAATTATGTGAAAGCTATGTTGTATCAGTAGGTTAATTTACATACCTGTTTTATATCTAAGCTACATATTTAGGAAGTTTAAAATGATTAACTTTTTTCTGTGTTCAGGAACATGTTAAACCTATGCTTCAGAGATTCTAGACAGCCGTGGGCAACCTACTGCCTGTGGGCCGGATCTGGCCCGTTTGAAATGAATAAAACTAAAAAAAAAAAAAAAAAAGACCGTACCCTTTTATGTAATGATGTTTACTTTGAATTTATATTAGTTCACACAAACACTCCCTCCATGCTTTTGTTCCGGCCCTCCGGTCCAGTTTAAGAACCCATTGTGGCCCTCGAGTCAATAAGTTTGCCCACCCCTGTTCTAGACCATCTTATTTAAATTATTTTAGTATTTTTATTACTTAAAAAAAGAGAAAATATTTTTAAAAATCAGTCCCCACAACATTTTGAGTATTATATATTTGTAAGACCATGTTTATTTAGAAAGAAATCATGTGATACAAAGTAGTTAAACCTTTTCTCTTTTTAAAATAAAAGTTGTTTGCCCAAGCCAGGTGATTCAGTTAGTTGGAGTGTTGTCCCATGCACCAAAAGGTTATGGGTTCAATTCTGGTCCGGGCATATACCTAGGTTGTTGTTCAGTTCCCAGATCGATGTTTCTCTCTCTCTCTCTCCCTATTCCTCTCTTTCTAAAATCAATAAAAAACATATCCACGGTGATGATTAAAAAATAAAAAATGAAAAAAAATGAATAATTAAAATAAAAGTTGTTTGCTTTGCTCTTGAGCAAATAAATTTTTCTTCTTGTTATATTGCCTGTAGTCTGTAAGACTTGATGATTGTGGTCTGAGTTAACTTTTGAGGTATATAGTTTTTAAATAGTTTTGTTTGCTTTTTTGGACAGATAATATATTCTAGTGTATTTTAGATGAAGAGCCAGACAAGGCCAATTAACATAGTGTATTAACCTTTTATAATTTATAAATTACTTTTATAGTTTCTATGGTCCCATTTGATCTATGAGTCAGGACAGATATTATTCTATTTTATTTATAGGACCCTGACTACCTAAATGTACAAACCTCATTGATGGTGGAGCTAGAGTTTGATGACTCTTACAACCACTGATATAGTCTCCCCTTGTCTGTGTGGTGTACGTTCCAAGACCCCCGGTGGATGCCTGAAATTTGATAGTACCAAACTCTATATATACTGTTTTTTCCTGTGCATACATACCTATGATAAAGTTTAACTTATAAATTAGGCACAAGAACTCACAACAATCCTATATAATAAAAGCCTAATATGCACATTGTCCCCTGGGGCGGTCGTTCCACCGGGAGACCAGGAGTTCGACCAGTCACTATGATGTGCGCTGACCACCAGGGCGTGGTGCGGAACATGGTGGGCATTGGCGATGCAGCGCTGGCAGCGGGCAGCAGTGGAGGTGCTGCCAGCCCAGATGGGCCCCGATGAGAGCGGGACCATGGTGGGATGGTGGAGCAGATGAGCAGGTGGCGCCAGACCAAGGTGGGTGCAAGCAGAGGCCTTGGTGCTGCCCAGGGCCCAGAGGTCAGCTGGGACCTGCCCTTCCATGCCAGACGCCTGTGCGTTGGTCACCAGCCAGGCCTAGGGACTGCATCCATGCACGAATTTTGTGCACTGGGCCTCTAGTAACTAATAATAAAATAGAACAATTATATTTTAGTAAAAGTTATGTGAATGGCGTCTCTCCAGTAATTTTAATATTTTTCAGTCCAAACCATCCGTTACTTGCAGTAAATAGTTTGGTGTCACTTGTTTCAGGGGATCACTTGCTGAAGTCTTTGTATAGGCTCAGTACTTTCTAGCGCAACACAGTGCTGTCAATAGGAACACATTTTCTGTTATGTTTACTACCCACAAATATAATGACTTTTCTATATAAACTAACGACCCAACATGCATTGTGGCCATATCTTTTGCAGTTTGAGATGCAATGCAAAACTAGCATGAATTTGTTATTCTTCTTTACAATTTCATAGACAGATTTGTTTTTACCATAGATCTTAGCAACCTCAACATACAAGTTTTTTCTTTCCTTATTAAGTTGAGAACTTTCGCCTTTTCACTTAGGGGAAGCACTTTCTGGCTTCTTGTTGTCATATCTGAATTGCTAGCATGACTACTCTTGCATTTTGGGGCCATTATTTTTTCTTTCAATTAGCAATAATCGTGCCTCGAATAAACCTCATTGGTTACAGTACTGCCACTGCACGAAGCTGGGGACATTGTTAAGTAAAATAAGGGGTTACTTGAATACAAGTACTGTGATTCTCCAACAGTTGATCTGATAACCAAGACGGCTACTCAGTGGCCAGAGGGTGGGTAGCATGTGCAGCGTGGATATGCTAGGCAGAGCGATGATTCATGTCCGGGCAGGATGGAGTAGGACAGTGTGAGATTTCACAACAGTTCACACAATTTAAAACTTACTATGAATGATATATTACTTGGATTTTCCATTTAACTTTTTCAGACCATGGTTGACCATGGGTAACTGACCATATGGAAAGCAAAACCACGGATAAGGGGGTACTACTGTAGTGGAAAAAAGCTCTGAACTGGGAGTCAAAAGAGCATACTTATGAATTTATAAATAATTACATATAAACAAACAAATTTTCACAAGTTTATTGTTTTTATTAGATACTTTCTCCCATTTTAAGAATTAGGGTGAACTTCACATATTACCTCACAACATTATTGACCCGGTATGTAGTTCTGTGATCGTATGCTGTGGTATCTTTGTTCTCTTAAATGGACTCATTCTTATTTAGGTGCTTCATGCAGACATCTGTACCCAGGATTCACTTCTGCAAAATGCTGATGTTATTATAATGAATAACGTCTTCGAATATTTTCTTGATGAGGCAGAACAGGCCAGGTATGTTATTTATTCAGGCAAGAAGTCTGTTGTTATCCAGCAAAGTATGAAAAGGGATTGGTAGAGTAGAAATGTTTTCATATTAAACTTTTAAAAATGACCTCAACTGTGAGATTATATTCAAAAGGAAATATGTTCTATATAAAATAAAAATAAACTGTCTGACTTTGTAAAGTATTGCATCTCATTTTAGGCAGATATGATATTTTATGACCCAAGCATTTGCTTAGCCGTCAGGGATGAAATAAGATATCACTTCCTAATGGGTCTTTATACTTTTTTCTGCCTCAGGTTTTTTTCCTCTTAAAAAAAATATGTCATGATGCTATCCTATCATAAAATGATGGGAATTAACTAATGCCTATAATTGAATATAAAACAAGATATAAGAGTATTAACCAAAATTGTGATTATCAAACTTGAAAAATGTTTTTAAGGGATAATAAATAGTAGAAGTTTATTCCACTATTCAAGTAATGAAAAAATTAGCAAGTCTGTGATCATTTTTCTGACTTCTCTGCCACATTTTAATGCTTTGTGACCCCTAAGGACCTATAGGTTCCTTTGATTAGAAAATTCCTCTAGTCTGTAGTCTGAGACACCAACTTTATGGTTACTTAGGCTTGCTGACTTCTTACTTATCATAAGGGCATATGCATACTTTAGATACAGGAAAGCTCCTTTCCATTGGCATGAAAGGGAATTAGACGAATGTTTGGATTACCTCAGAGAAATGAAAAAGTGCATATAATACATACCATAAACAGTTAATACTGAGTGGAATCCTGAATGACTAAACCTCTTTATTCTGCCACCTGTTCACCTTCTGTATTCTGCCCCTGACCACCACTTTCTCTCTCTCCCACACACACATATGCACACCCATAGCCATTAGGTTAAGGTCACTACAAAATTAATAGTTTAAATAGTTTAAAAAGAAACTGCTTCAACAGAAAGCTAATCATATAGTCAAATTTCAGCCAGAATGAGAGGTGATTTTTTTTGGTCACAGACTAAAGACCAGAAACACAACATGTGCTGTACCGTGCCAGCACAGCCAAGGGTTCCGTGAGCCTGAGGAGGGGGCGATGAAGGATTAAAGAAAAGACAGACAAAGAGAATGTAGCTGGAGCTCGGTGGAACTCCCGTGCCTGGATGAGGACACAGAAAGAGATCCGGCCGGCAAGCTGAGGCTTTATTTTATTGTCAGAGGTATACAAGGTAGCGGTCACCATAGTTACAATGTTCTTGTGAGTTTCACTTGTTTAGGCAGCACTTGCTGCACCTCCCACAGTCCATTAGCTACCTAGGAACAATCTAGGGAGCGTCATAAGGTCAAGCTTAATTATGGTAAGAGGGCTATGCCCTCTAAGCTGGGACTTGTTTGTGGCTCTGCCACAGGTCAATCCGAGGCTTAACCCTATAGCTACTCTCTACAATGTGCAAAGTTATTTTAATTATAATGCCCTTTTTAGACTTAATTTCCAGTAGACAAAGTATGATTAGCTTTTTATCTTTTTAAATTAATGATAGGTAGTCAAAACATTACATAATTGTTGGAAAGTGAAATATTACCAGGTTTATGTTGTATAAGAAGTTTTAAAACACCCTAAACTCTTTGGAGATTTATTATATAAAGAGTTTGAATGCTGAGGAATGATGAAAGCTACTGCCGAACTTGATACTGGAAATACTGCATATTTGCATTATTTTCAAAACTCTCTTGGTGCATTTATTCACAAGCTCTACATGATTCACTAAGTAGATATTGGCCACCTGTGTTAGTTCAGTCATTTTCCCTCAGTTAGTCTAGCAAATGAATTCTAAATCTAGCTAGGTTATGTGACTCTCATAGTTAATTATTTTATCTTCATCTTGAATGACAGTTCACAGAAGAAAGGTAAGAAGATATGGTAAATCATTCTGATACTGGAATTGTTCTGACAAAACTGGTCATTTACTCATTAATTCTATATTGTAGTAAGTAAAAGAGAATAGATGGCACAGCATATACCCTCCAGAGATTTTTAATCTTTTTTTTTCTTTGATTTTCTTTTTTTTAATTAAATCTTTATTGTTCAGATTATTACATTTGTTCCTCTTTTTTCCCCCCATAACTCCCCTCCTCCCAGTTCCCGCCCCACCCTCCGCCCTCACTCCCCACCCACTGTCCTCATCCATAGGTGCACGATTTTTTGTCCAGTCTCTTCCCGCATCTCCCACACCCCTTTCCCCCCCAAGAATAGTCAGTCCATTCCCTTTCTATGTCCCTGATTCTATTATGATCACCAGATTATTTATTCACTTGATTCTTAGATTCACTTGTTGATAGATGCATGTTTGTTGTTCATAATTTGTATCTTTACCTTTTTCTTCTTCTTCCTCTTCTTAAAGGATACCTTTCAGCATTTCATATAATACTGGTTTGGTGGTGATGAACTCCTTTAGCTTTTCCTTATCTGTGAAGCTCTTTATCTGACCTACAATTCTGAATGATAGCTTTGCTGGATAAAGTAATCTTGGTTGTAGGTTCTTGGTATTCATCACTTTGATATTTCTTGCCATTCCCTTCTGGCCTGCAAAGTTTCTGTTGAGAAATCAGCTGACAGTCGTATGGGTATTCCCTTGTAGGTAACTGAGTTTCTTTCTCTTGCTGCTTTTAAGATTCTCTCTTTGTCTTTTGCTCTTGGCATTTTAATTATGATGTGTCTTGGTGTGGTCCTCTTTGGATTCCTTTTGTTTGGGGTTCTCCGCGCTTCTTGGACCTGTAAGTCCATTTCTTTCACCAGGTGGGAGAAGTTTTCTGTCATTATTTCTTCAAAGAGGTTTTCAATATCTTGCTCTCTCTCATCTTCTGGCACCCCTATAATTCTGATGTTGGTACGCTTGAAGCTGTCCCAGAGGCTCCTTACACTATCTTCATATTTTCAGATTCTTTTTTCATTTTGCTTTTCTGGTTGGGTGTGTTTTGCTTCTTCGCATTTCAAATCTTTGCCTTGATTCTTGCGCTCTTCTGGTCTACTGTTGGGAGTCTGTATAGTATTCGTTATTTCAGTCCATGTATGCTTAATTTCTAGTTGGTTCTTTATCATAACATCGAGGGTCTCATTAGTTTTCTTGAGGATCTCACTACATTTATCGGCGGCTTCTAGACAGTTCTTAAGAGACCTTAAAAGTGTGGTTCTGAACTCAATATCTTCCATTGACAGTTTTGTCCTGTTTCTTTGTCTCCGCATTTTTTTTTATGCTTTCTTGGTGCACCCCCTAGTGGTCTTTGTGCGCAGTCTTGTTGTAGTTAAGCCTTGATTGTTGACGGCAATACCGGGGGTGATTTGACCTCCAGGCTAACTGGCTATGAGAGTCCGCTGTGTCTGCAGTGGGAGAGCTTCTGTGCTGGATCTCTAGGGCAGTGCTAATCTAGCATTTGCCTGAGGCTATCCGGCAAATGGCTCTGCGCAGGGCTTGGGCGGGGCGGGTCCCAGGGGATCTACAGGGCGGGCCGGAGCGAGCAGTTATGGCTGCTCTCAGTTCCGTCCCTAGGGGCTCTGCCTCACAGAGTCCCAGCAACCGCTGCAAACCTCGGAGAGAAAGCTGCCTTCGAGTTCCGACCGAAGCCAGACAGTCCCGCTTCTCCCGTTTGAGTCTGGGTCCCTAGAGACTCACCCGGATCTGGAGCTCAGAGTCTGAAACTCCCTCCCGATTGAAAACAACTGCGCCCTCCGCCGCCAGCCCGCTCCGTGTGCACTCCACACCTGAGTATTTCACTTCAGCACTGCGCCTCCTCTGAGTCTGGGTATGATATTCTCTTTCCTCCTAGTTGTAGAATTTCCACTCAGCCAGCCTTCCTGTGGCTCTGGATGATGTCCATTCCATCTTTAGTTGTTTTTTGAAGTGGTTGTTCGAGGCAGGAATCTCCGGCGTTAACCTATGCCGCCATCTTGGTTTCTCTCCTAAAGTTTCAGTCTTAATGTCGAGATTTTTAATCTTAATCAGAATCTGAGGACAAGTGGAATGGTACCGCTGCTATAGGAGTTAGTGCATAAAAGAAAACAAAAATATGTCATAATAATAGAAATGTGTACTCAGGTAAGGCTCAGGCTTCAGAATAAGTTAGATCTCATTATAGCATAACACCCAGATTGTAAAGTATTAGTTTAAAAGGTACTTCTAGCCCTGGCTGGCTTGGTTGTTGTCCTATCCTGGTGAGAGTGTGCACCTCTGAAAAGTTGGTCGATGTTTCTCTTTCACATCAATGTTTCTTTGTCTCTCCCTTCCTTTCTAAAATCAATAAAACTGTTTTAAAAATTGCCAAAACCGGTTTGGCTCAATGGATAGAGCATCGGCCTGCGGACTGAAGGGTCCCAGGTTCGATTCCAGTCAAGGGCATATACCTTGGTTGGGGGCACATCCCCAGTGGGAGGTGTGCAGGAGGCAGCTGGTCGATGTTTCTCTCTCATCGATGTTTCTAGCTTCTCTATCCCTCTCCCTTCCTCTCTGTAAAAAATCAATAAAAATATAAAAATAAAATAAAATAAAAGGTGCCTCTATGTATTTTCTTAGTAGGTGAAACAGATACAACTACTACCATGACAGCTTATCAGAAATATTAAGTTCTATTTTCGAGAGTCATGCCCAGTATACTTAGCTTCTTCATTCTTTTAAAATAAACTTATAAAATGTCATTTTTAAGGAACCACTGGAAAAAACACACGCAAACAGCTCTAGCCCAACCATGGTGATATTTATTATCAAACACTGCTACATGATTTTAGATCTAGCCTGAGAAAAAAAAATTTTGTATCATTTTATCTAATTAACTCCAGAATGTACTAAACTTAATATCCATTGCTATAACTAAAATAAGTGCAAATGACACAGCTGCTCACCTGCCCCACTGCAAGGGATGCACATCCCTGCTTTTTCTGACCATCGGTCCCCAGTAGTGGGGTGTACTTTCAAGACTCAGCGTAGAAATCCAGTTCATGTCTGCACTAAAGATTAATCAGAACTGGTCAGTCACTGCCCTCTGACACACACATGCACATGGCATTTCATCATGCTTTAAACCTGGGGCTGGTCCCACTAAACTTCTCAGGTGCCATATCGTCCAGAAGTCTTTCCATTGAATATTTATGGCAGCCAAATAAAGTATGATTTCGCTTTTGATTTACTGTTAGTTTTTGCTCTGGTTTCTATAGCCTTTCTCCAATACCCTGCCTCACCTCTACCCCTCAGCCCAGTTCCCTTCTGCAGAACCATTATTTTTTACATACTTTGTAAGAAATTTAAGAGCCGCTAACTGATACAGCTTGGACTTCTGAATTGGTCCTGAAACTGAGTTTTGGCCTCACAATGCCTTGTAGTAACTCAAATCATGATCTCGTTAAATCTTGTCAACTGTGACTTCACAATTTTCCCAGCACCTCTCTGGAACTGAAGAATTGACCAATTTCTAGTATGTTACTGCAGTCCTATTTTCTGCAAGCAATTTTGCTCATTTGAGATACCACTTGTGCTGCATTTTCTTTTGTCATCGGCATTTTAAAAGAACTTCCAGTGTCTGGTAAAACCTGACATAATGCCTCTAATGTGTTATAGAGCCTGGGAATGTATCAGCCATAACGTAAGGAAACAAGGATCGTTATTGGTGACAGTACCAAGTCTTGAAGAGTCTCTCTCAGGTCTTCAGGTATGTAAGCCTTCCTCGCATTTTTATTGTCAAAACTTTTCTTCTACTTTTTTCTGATAGCTGTTACAATATTCTAGATATGTTCTGTCTGAATAGAGTGACAGATGATAAAAAGAACAGCAAGAATTCATGGCTTAAGGACTGGCTCGTGGTTAATTAGCCTCAAGAGCTCTCAAGTTGCCATTCTTACCTCCGTACGAACTCCTTTGCTTCTCCACCCAGTTTTTTAGCTGTGGGATTACAGTTCTGGAGAACAAATGCTATTAAATGTTAAGAGGCCTTAAACAACCACACCATAACTTTTCCCGTGGAACAAAAGGAACAGAGTTATCCAAGGTTGTAGAATCCAATAAGCTGGAGGCCGCGCAGTTTAGCCTCTAAGTCAGCTTGAAATCTTACACAAACCTCGCTTGCTCAGACTCTTCATATAGAATAAGGCTGATATTTAATAATATGATTCCACCCAATTTATTGATCCTTATACAAAGGTTAATTAGTGTTTGTAAAGCTCTTTGAGATCCAGATAAAAAATAGTGTTGTATTTCTTAATACAGTATTATTTTCTTTAGTCATGCTTTCCTTATATGTAAGCACTGCCAAATTTAGGTATCTGGGTTTTTTTCCTTTAAAAAATCTAAACAATCATCAATAACACCTTTAACAATTTTTTCGTCAATCATCTAAATTACAGAAGTAATTCATGTTTGCCATAACAAGGGAAGTAATCCATAGATACATAAAGAGAAGATGTTAGTCTCCCAGTTTCCCCCACTTCATTCTTCCCCATGAGATCCCTGCGTCCTGAGTGTGTGATCTTACCATACTCATAAAAACATGCCTTTAATTTTATTATGTTTTCATCCTCAACCGGGGATATGTTTTTACTGAGTTTTAGAGAGAGGAAGGGAGAGAGAGAGAAACATTGGAGTAAGAGAGAAACATCGATCGGCTGCCTCCCACACACACCCTGACCAGGGATTGACCCCGCAACCTAGGTATGTGCCTTGACCAGGAATCCAACCTGTAACTTTTGGTGTATGGGACAGTGCTCCAGCAACTGAGCCATACCGGCCAGGTCAAAACAAACCTTTTAAAATATGTGGTCTCAAATTTATAATTTCTAAATATATTGAAATAATTCAGTTATTTTACCAAAATAACTTTCACACTAAATACATAAATTTGTGTTGACCACCATTGGAAATTAATATTTATAAGAGTCCTTATTATAAATTCTTGAATAATTTTATTGCTCTCATATTTAATGAAACTTCTTTAAACAGATATATATCCATTGTTGGCTCCAGAATTTCTTTGTCATGGAGACTCAAGTTTTCAATGTGAAGGGAAGGGCCTGATGAAGGTTATGGAGGGAGATTAGCCCTGCTTATACAACCCCTTAGTACCAGCACTGTGTATATATGAGCAGTTTTCTGTGTGTTGCCATTGTTGTTTTAAAATTTTGTTTAAACCTAATGATGATTAAATTATGTACATTAAAACAATTCTTTACTTTATTCTTTAAAATTTCAAAATCTCAGAGTAAACTAATTAAATTCCTGAATCCATAGACCATTTAGTACAACAAAAAATTGTTCATGTGAATAATAAAAAGAAAAGAAAAAGAAAAGAATTGTTCATGTAGCACCATGTAGAACTTAGTCCTACTCATTGTAATAAAAATCTGTTGTGTTGTCTGGCTGGTGTGGCTCAGGGGTTGAGCGTCAACCTATGAACCAGGAGGTCATGGTTTGATTCCTGGTCAGGGCACATGCCTGGGTTGCAGGCTCAATCCCAGTGGGGGGCGTGCAGGTGGCAGCCGGTCAGTGATTCTCATCATTGATGTTTCTATCTCTCTCTTCCTCTTTGAAATCAATAAAAATATATTTTTAAAAAAATTTTTGTGTTTAGTAACTTACTTAGTCATGATTTCTTCCAGAAAATAGGATTATTCTATAATTTTCCTGTTTGTTTATAATCTTTTTCTTTTCCAGGTTAGTATACAGTTATCTTCCTGGGTTGAAGAGGTACCACTGAACTATGATGTATACCCAGAAAAGGATATTAACAGGGAAGCTCTTGAACAAATACATTTATATAAGATTCTCTAGCACTAAAATAGTCCTATTGCAATATAATGTTTTTTGAGTATTACAAAACAATGAAAAAGAAACATAACCCCAACACCCAAACACCTATTTTTTGTGTGTATTTCTTTCTAGTCTTTGTACATATGTTTACATATTTATAAATAGTTGCATTTGTATATTTGTAACTTTGATTTGTGTGATAATTAAAATTCCTGAAAATTTTGTTTTCCTCTAGTTTCTTTTATTCTGTTACAAATATAAATATGTCTTTCTTTAGTCATTAACTCTGTATACCAAGTCCAGATATAACAACAAAAAAAAAAAGATTAGAAGTAGCTTCTATTAAGAGAAGGGTGGAGAGGAAGGTTAAGTTACATTGCATTCCAATTATTGGATCTCTGTTCTGTCAGATTCCTTTTTTTTCCCTTTGTGTCAGATTCCTTATATACAGTTTTATCTGAAGAGTCTAGCACAAGGACTGAAATAAAAAATAATTACAGTTGCTAGGGAAAAGCAAAACTAGAAAGATAGTCTCCAAAATATAGTAAATAGAGATTATTAGTATATCTAGGTGGAACAATTACTGGTGATTTTTTTTTTCCTTTTCTGTATTTTTTTCTATAATGACTATATTTCTTTTGAAGTCAGGAAAAGCAAAACTTTTTAACGAATACAATGGAACATCAAAACTTGAACACTTAAGCTCCACTGGTGTTGCTCAGTGATTGAGTGTCAACCATGAACCAGGAGGTCACGGCTCAATTCCTGGTCAGGGCAAATGCCCAGGTTTCGGGCTCGATCTGCAGTAGGGGGTGTGCAGGAGGCAGCTGATTGATGATTCTCTCCTATCACTGATGTTTCCATCTCTCTGTCACTTTCTCTTTCTCTGAAATCAATAAAAACATTAACAACAACAAAAACTTGAACACTTAACTAGTTCTAGAGCATTACATAAAATACACATAGTATTCATCCATGAAAAAATGAGTTTATTAGCAATATGGCACATAATCACAAGCATGTAACAGTTACTGAACTTCACTTTATACTGTACTTATTCTTAAAAAGTATGTCCTAAACTCTCAATCCTAATCGCCCTAGTGTATATTTAAATGTTTCTCAGAAGCATGAACCTCTAAAGCAAAGTATGCTGCTATGGCTCTTGGTGAATGCCAGAACTCCCATTCTAGATAGAATGCCCTGGACAGGCCAGAAGAGTAGAGAACACTAGCAATACTCAGGGCCCTGAGGGGAGAAATCTATTTGTAAACCTAGTTTCAAATCATTCAGCCCCTCATCTGTAAAACAAAAATAAGAATTCAGCGGTCAGTGGAATATAGTCAAAAATACAGATTATAGGTGGTTACCATAGATATGTGATTAAAATTACAGAAATAACGGGCAATTGTTTAAATACTGTCACTGCTGTGATTTTAGACATGTCAAAATGGGCCATGGATCTTTAGTTGATGAGTGGAAAAAAGGTCTAAAATATTTGAAAGTATTTTGTGTGACATGTATATACTAACATATTTTTAAATAAATGCCTGAGGCAAATACTAGAACGATAGTATATTTAGGAGATATCCTTATACCAATATTAATGTTCTGCAAGTTAAAGTTATTTAACTTTATTTTTTGATGTCTATATATTTGTGTAGAGACACTTACTGTAGTTATAAAAGCTAGATTCTGCCAGGCCAGTGTGGCTCAGTGACTGAGTGTCAACCTATGAACCAGGTCACAGTTCAATTCCTGGACAGGACACGTGCCCAGGTTTCGGGCTCGGTCCCCAGTAGGGGGCGTGCAGGAGAATCGATGATTCTCCCTCACCATTGATGTTTCTAACTCCCTCTCTCTGAAATATATATATGTTTTTTAAAGATAGGTTCTTATTTTAGGAGATTTTTTGGTGTTGGGAGTTTTTCACTTCTAGCTATTTGTCGCTCCTTAGCCTCAGTGACCCTCTCTACCCCCTGCTGTCCATGCCATGTGTCTCAGAAGCCTCAGGGGGTAGAAGGGTAGTACATAAGATATATTCATATTTCAGCAGCCAACTGAAAAATACACAAAACAAAAAGAAAAACCTTTTTTCATTTAGCATTACTTGTGCTCAAAGAACTAAAAACATTAAGGTTACAGTAAATGTCCTTTACCTCAAAATATATGACAAATTTGATAGAAAACAAAAAATAAAGTTGCTTATTAGGGCATTAGAACTTTTTTCTGCCAATGTTCCTTTAAAATTATTGAACTTCACCAAGTTTTGTCACCGCTTTCTTTCATCTAACCTCTAAACCCCTCTACTAATGCAGATGCCCTTAATGTCTTATTTAGGGATACCACAACTTAGACATTGCAGAATTTCATGAAAACTTTATAATCAGTAGACATTGTAAAGTATTTTGTATTGATGAATTTTCAGCCATGCAACTATTAATTGCACTAACTAATCACACAAACATGTATTAAGCTCACTGTATATTTAGCACTCTGACACCGCAGACACAAAAATGAACACTTGGTTCTATCCTGAAGGATCTTAACTGTAAGGAGGACAAGCACACATTAATTAGTTTGTTTATTTACTAGAGGCCTGGGTGCATGACATTCCTGCACGGGGGTGGGGAGGGGAGCAAGGTGGGGGGGTGGTCCCTCAGCCCCAGCGTGCGTGCGTGCCCCCTCTCGTGCGCCCTCTCGCAGTCTGGGATGCCTTCCCCCACTGAGGGGTCCTTAGTGCTGCCATGGAGGCAGGAGCGCTGTGCTTGCCAGCCAAAAGCTGGGCTTGATGCTCCTTAGCACTCCTGCCACCGCACCAGCTGTGAGCCCGGCTTCTGGCTGAGTGGCGCTCCCCCTGTGGGAGGACACTGACCACCAGGGGGCAGCTCCTGCATTGAGCGTCTGTCCCCTGGTGGTCAGTGTGTGTCATAGCGACCTGTCATTCTGCCATTCAGTCGATTTGCATATTAGGGTTTAATTATGTAAGATTTATTTACTTATTCATTATTTTTGTTACAAATGGGAAATGTCATTTTATTCAGTACATAGCAACAGGTTTCTGGACCTGAACTTGAAGACAAGTCCTTTCCACCTTAAACTGGGGAACAGGTAAGGAGGGTTTAAAATATGTGGCCCAAGCAGGGACACATTAGTTTAGATATAAGATAAGGAAAGATGGTCTTGGTAGAGGGAATAGCCTGTGCAGAGGTATATAGCATAATGAGTACCATATATATATATATATAATATATGTATATATATATATATATATATATATATACACACACACACACACACACACAGTGTGTATTTCTAATTATAGTTCACATTCAATATTTTTTTTATTGGTTTCAGGTATACAGCATAGTGGTTAGACAATCCTGTACTTTACAAAATATTCCCCTCCATATTTCCAGTACCCACCTGGCAACATAATTATTATAATAATATTGACTATATTTTCTATGCTGTACCATAATGGATACTTTTGTGTGACTAGAGGCCAGGATAGGATTACATGAGGTTAATGAAGTAGTTGGATGCCAGGTCAGGATGGGCGTGGTATGCCAACCAAACAAGATCACATTTTATTCTGAGAGTCAGAGTGAGCCATTAAAAGATTGTAAGCACATTGATATGGGCACAATAAACTTGCATCCTTTTAAAACACCAGTATGGTATTCTGGGTCAGGGTTAGGGGTTAGAGTTTCATTTATCTTTTTTAAAAATATATATCTTCATTGATTTCAGAGAGGAAGGGAGAGGGAGAGAGAGATAGAAACATCAATGATGAGGGAGAATCATTGATTGGCTGCACTCAAGCCCGCAACCCAGGCATGTGCCCTTGACCAGAATCGAACCTGGGACCTTCAGTCCGCAGGCCGACACTCCATCCACTGAGCCAAACCAGCAAGGGCTATCTTATATCTGCTTTATTTTTAGCATAATGAGCTGTGGAATCTATGGTTGTGTTTTAAAAGGATAATAAGACAGCTGGAAAAAGTGAAATAAAAAAGAAGAGAGAATGTGATTGTTGTAAGAGAAGTTTGAAAGGGAGAAACCAATGAGAAATTCAGGTACAATTTAGGGGGTGGGGCAGTTTTAAAAAGACATTTGAGGAAAAAGAAAAAAGACTAAAATAAAGATGACATGATAAATAAATAGAAGAAAAAAGTTTTAAAAACATGGAGAAAAGGAATAAAAGAAGGGGAGAAGAAAAAACATTTAAAAGGGATGGGAGAGTATGAAAAAAGTAAAAGCAGAGAGAGAGTTGAAAAGCAGGAGCAAGTAAGGAATCAAGTAGGATTTGTAAGTCAGTTTAAAAATACAGTAGAACAGCGTGGCTGGTGTAGCTCAGTGGTTGAGCATTGACCTGTGAACCAGGAGGTCACAATTCGATTCCTGATCAGGGCACATGCCTGAGGCTTGATCCCCAGTGTGGGCGGGCAGGAGGCAGCCAGTCAATGATTCTCCCTTATCATTGATGTTTCTATCTCCCCCTCTCCTTTCCTATCTGAAATCAATAAAAATATACTTTTTAAGAAATACAATAAAACATACATAATGGATAGACAGAAATGGACTTTACAAAGGAGAAGCCAGTAAAAATGTTAGAAAAAAAGAGGAACCAAGTTTTGTTAAATGGAGCCAGGAAGAAAACGAAATAAAATTTTGTTGTGTTGTTGAGGTAAAATGAAGATAGGTATGTTGATAACTTGATTTTCAGATAGATATAGGTAGGACTGTAAAAAGAGGACAGTAAAAAAGATAATACAAAAAATTTTTAAAAGGAAAAAGTAAAGAGAAAAGGAAAGAAAAGAGTTTAAAAAACGAGTCAGTAAGATGGGAGTAGAAGAAGGAAGAGAAAAGGAGAGGAAGAAGGCTGGGAGGGAGTTAAAGAGGGCAGTTAGAAGGGGAAAGGTGAAAAGGCAAAAAGTAATCCAGGACAAAGCAAAGGAGGGTAAAAGGGTGGAGGGAAGGAGGGAGAAATGGTGGGAAAGAGGAAGAGGGAGGAGGGAAAGAGGGAGGAGGAGGAGGCCAGAAAGCAAAGAAGAGAGAAAAAAGAGAGAGAAAAGTCATCAAGAGGCATTCAGAAAAGGAGGGAGAGGAAGAGGAAAGGAGAGGCAGGGAGAAAGGAACCAAGGAAGGAAGAAGGGAGAGGGCAAGAAAGAAAGATAGAAACAGAGCAAAATGTTTGAAAAAGAGACG